AGAGGGGTGCAACAATGAATGAATGGAATTCCAAAATCTCTGTAGATGTTCATTGAAATGAAAAATAAAGACATTAAAAAAAAAAAAGATCTGAGAAAGTACTGAGCTCTAACTTCTGGCTGACCTTCAGGCTCAGCATAAGCAGGAAGTATAGACTAAGATAGAGTTAGTAAACCAGCTGGCTGAATACTGAAGACGTTCTGGAATTAGGAAGCTTTGGAAAATGAAAATGGAGGGATAAAAGTAATCTGCAGGAAGTCTGGGGCTTAAAGGAACTGTCAAGAAAAGAAATTCTGAGGGAGCTCTGGTGGCCTAATTGCGAAAAGCTGCACTGCAATCCCAGAGGTACACAGTTCGAATCTTCCAGATACTCTACTGAAGAGGGAGGGGCAATCTCCTCCTGTGCCAGTCAAATCCGATTTGATGGTACAAACACACAAAAAAAAATAGTAAAATTTAAAAAAAAAATAAATTCTGGCTAGTAGTAAGGATTCTTCTTTCCTACAGTTGCCAATACAAGTAGTACATTTGGCAAATCTTTCTAAATTTTGAATTTTATTTATATGGCATGTGGTTTTTAGCTCAATAATGTGGTTTTAAAGTAAGAGTAAGAAGCCACATTTAGGCAAAAATAAAAACAAATGAATCTGATTAAAGTCAAGTAAATTTCCCCACCCTCCATCAGTTAGTTCTTCATCTTGTTCACCAACTCCCTCTGATAAGTCATCGTTGCCAAGTCTATGTGAGGCTGGGACAGCCTGGGCAAGGCTTCTTTCCTGAAAGAAAGGAGGAAGCCTGGCCTCTCACTACTCTAGGTTCGTGTAAGGGCAGATGGAGGAGGCTGAGCCACCACCCAGGAAAGCAAGCCAAAGTAAATTATCATTAATATTATCACTGAATATTTTTTTTACTGAAAACAATTTTCAAATAGCTTGAGTAAGAATCCAAAGACATTAACAACGAATGTGTCACATATGAACTACTTACTGAGTACAATGATAACCTCGAACCTCAGGCTTTGGCTGATGCTTCTTAAGGTGCTTGCTGAGTCCAGAGCCCCTATGAAATGACTTTCCACAAATTGAGCAAAGGTATTTTGACTCTCCTGCAAAAGATAAATAACATGTCACAAATCTTCCATAAAGTCCATCCAAAAGAATTATATATTTCAGAAGTTATCTTAACACAGAAACTCTAATATTTGACAGCAATCTTGTAAAAATAACACATTTTATGCTGCAGTGAATTATTTAATATAGCCATTATTATAGTCATCATCTTTTTATTTTCTATTAACTGGGTGGGAATATGCAAATTAGGTGCTATAGTCCACTATGGGTCTTGGATATATTCCTAATAATGTGACTAAGGATCATGGCACTCTATTTTTGGAGGGAGGATTTGGACAAAGCAAGTAGGTATATAGAACCCTAACAAGGGTGTTGGTTCTGTTTTGTCATCCTGCTAGGCTTAAAAGAATGCCAATCTCAGAGCAGAAATAGGACCTCAACTATCAAAAAAGAGCTGAGAGTGGACTGAATCCTTTGGACCGAGAGCCAGTGTTGATAGCACTGAGAGCCTCTTAGATCCACAAGACAGAGAGAAGTGGTAGCAGCTAAACAATGGCAGCAGAATCATGAAAGTGGCAGGAAAGGGCAACTTCAGGAAGGTGGCTTGCTGGTACAGGGTGGTGTTGGTAGTTGTAAATGTGTGTGCATGCACTCACGCATGCCTCTGATCATTTATTAGCAGAGCTGAAAGACCTCTGTGATACTTGCCTGAGCAAGGGGAGGTCAGGATGGCTAACAAGGTCCTCTGGGAAATGAGCATGTTATCATGTGGTGAACACCCTAGTTTACCCTTCTCACACAGGCCAAAGAATTGTACCCAACAGGTGAGATATAGAATGGTATTCAAGTACCAAGGGATTACAGAGTACAGCAGTTTTAGTGTTTCTTGGGAGAGCAGACTTCGGTGTCTGGAGCATTAAAGTAAAGACAGGGGCCTTTTATTAGAGCACAGGAACGAGAAGAAAGAGATGAGACAGAAATGTGGATAAATAGTAATGATAGATTTATTAGAAAGTTACATCAGCAAAGGGATGGACCTTCCTCCTAGAAAGAAGATAAGGCCTCCTGTTTGGAAGGTGAATCTCTATTTAGGGCTCATTCTCTCAGTGTACCTTGAGGCTCAGGCCTGAGTCAATGAGACAATGCCACAGAGTTCAAAGTTTGGTGGGCAAGTCTCCTTCTGGTACCTGTTTTCTGATGTCATTCAGGCCCAAAGTGTCCACTTCTTCTGACATCACTCATGCGCCCGAGTACTATTTCTATATATGCCAATATCTGCTTCCTGGCTCTGGTGTAACTTTGTCTTCCCCATATCATTGGTTCTAATCCTACCAAGCATGTGTCGGGGTGAGGGTGGGGTGGCGGCAGCAGGCTAGGTCCAGGCTGACTAAGGAGCTGTAAAGAAGCTGTCCTGATGTGAAGAACTATATGGCTCGAGTTTTTGCTGATCCTGAATTGTAATCTGGTACTTTCCTAATAAACCAGTAACTTTGAGTGGTTTTGTCACTGTAACAAATTATTGAATTATCAAAGCCAGTTGTGGTTGTTGTTGTTGTGTACCATAGAGTCAGAACCAATTCATAGCCTCCAGTGGGTTTTCATAGGCAGTTAATCACAGGGGAGGAGATTGCCCATCCTACTCTTGCAAAGCAGCTGGTAGCCTTGAACCATGTGCCTTTGGGATTGCAGTGCAGCTTCTTGCCACTAAAGCTGCTCCCTTTGAAAGCCAGTTTGTTGTTGTTAAGAGCCGCGAGTCGCTTGCAACTCATAGTGACACCATGTACAAGAGCCCTAAATCCTGCTCTATCCCGTGCCAACCTCACTGTCTCCGACACACCTACTCCCATAGAAGAGGCTGATGGGTGCCAGAACTGGTAAAAAGGTGGTAGGACAGAGTTATAGCTGGCCCTTGCCTCATAGCTATCAGCCTTGAGGTGTTAATGATGATAAAGATATCATATCCCTCTTAAGAACCACCAGACCATTGTTGCACTTCTCAACCATAGTACTAGCAAAGATTAGTGCCCCAAGAATGTGATATGTTTGCATAATCTCTGGGTTACAGTAGTAACAGAGGTGAATACAAATTCTAGACCACATGACTAACCTTCATCAGCCATTTCCACACACTTGCTTTAAAGGATTTGGAAATCAGTCTGTATGAACTAAAAGTTCTAACAGAATTATAAGCCACTTACTATGTTAGCTTTTATAGTCTGTCTAATGCTTCACTACTGTAAAGAAAGGTTATTTCTTTAGTGACTAAATAGCCATAAATTAACTCCCAGCACATGATCTTCCCACACTAAGGAAACAATGTTTTCACACAAAATCAGACAATAAAACAAGGTTTACTAAAACTTTAACTTCAAGCCCTTGTTAATTAAAAAAATTATTATTTCCAATATAACTTCAGTATGTCAGCCTAATAAACTAATATTAAGGATGCCAATATAAATTTCCCATTACCTGTGTGAATACTCATGTGTTCTTGAAGACTTCGTTTGGTAACAAATGATTTAACACATAGTTCACACTGAAACTGCTTTTGAGATTGGTGGAGACTCTGGTGTAATTTTAGGCCATGTTTATAGATAAAAGCCTTTCCACAGACCTAAGATAGAATAGAGATGTTTAAAACAGTAAAACAAAAGATATGAATTATATGTGAAATACAGGAGCAGAGAAATTATCATATTGCTTTAAATAAAACTTTGTAAGTAAGATGACAAAGTGAATGTTAAAACCACATATGCCAAGGATATTAGCTGGTTGACTCCCGTTTGCTCAGTACTTAAAATACTATTAATGTTTTCTTGTATCTCCGATCTCTGGAGGGGCAACTGAATCTCGTTCTGTTCCTGTAGAGTGGTATACAATATTTTATAAAACCAAATAAACCACTAAACCCATTGCCATTTGTAAAAATGCTTCCATATGGACCACATTTTGTGAGCAGGGATGCACCAAAAGACCAGAGACTAAATTAATTCTTAGTATTTAAACATAAACCAAGACTGGCCAATAACCATTCTACAATAACAGTCTTATATAATATTTATCCTTGTGGGACTGAGTTAGTTCACTCAACATAATGCTCTCTAGTCCCTCCTCATAAACTGACTGATAATGCAGCAAAAGAGCTCACTTTAGCCTCATGTAATAAAAAAATTCCAAAGACATAACCTATGAACTTTAATAAATCTTGTTGTTGTTGTGTGCCGTCGAGTCGTTTGCGACTCATAGCGACCCTATGTACAACAGCCCTAAACCATGCTCTATCCTGTGCCAATCTCATTGCCTCCGACACAGCCATCCCGATTTCCCCAGTCACTGAATCAATCCACCTCATAGAGGGTCTTCCCCTCCTGCGCTGTCCCTCCACTCTGCCCAGCATGATGTCCCTCTCCAAAGACCTGTCTCTCCTTACAACATGTCCACAGTATGTCAGGCGAAGCTCCAGAATCCTTGCCTCAAAGGAGCAGCCTGGTTTAACCCTCCCTAGGATGAATCTATTTGTTTTCTTGGCAGTCCATGGTACATTCAATACTCTTCTCCAGCACCACAGCTCAAAGGCATCAACTCTCCTTCTGTCCTCCCTAGTCACTGTCCAACTCTCTGATGCAAAACAAGTGATTGCAAAGACCAGGGCCTGTATCAGGCACACCTTAGTCTCCAGAGAGACACCGTTGCTCTTGAGTACTTTAGAGAGGTCCCTAACCGCAGACTTTCCCATCACAATACGTTTTTTGATTTCCTGGATACTGGTGCCAAGAGTGTTGACTGTGGAGCCAAGGAAACTGAAGCTGTGAACAATTCAATCTCTTTGCCATCCATCCTGATGCTACCGATTGGTCCAGTGGTGAGAATTTTTGTCTTCTTGACATTGAGCCTCAGTCCATATTGAAGGCTGCAGTCCTTGACCCTCTGCAGTAAGTGCATGAGGTCCTCCTCAGTTTCAGTGAGCAGGGTTTTGTCATCTGCATAACGCAGATTGTTGATAGATCGTCCACCAATCCTAATGCCACGCTTCTCCTCATAGAGCCCAGCCTCTCGGATAATCTGCTCTGCATACAGGTTGAAAAGGTATGGAGACAGGACACATCCGTGGCGTACACCCTTCCCAATTTTGAACCATGCAGTGTTGCCCTGCTCTGTTCTGACGACTGCCTCTTGGTCCAAGTATAGGTTTCACATTAGCACGATTAAATGTTCTGGGATTCCCATTCTTCTCAGAGTCAGCCACAGTTTGTTATGATCCATGCAGTCAAATGCCTTTGCATAATCAATGAAACACAGATAGACATTCTTCTGGTATTCCCTGCTTTCAGCTAAGATCCATCTAACATCAGCAACAATATCCCTAGTACCACGACCCCTTCTAAACCCAGCCTGGACTTCTGTTGTTGTTGTTGTTAATAAATCTACCTGTAACGGTTTCTCAACTGAACTTCTGTCCACATGCACACTGTAAAGTGGAATCACAAAAACTATCCCCCTTAAAAGTAAACATAAATAATATATATAATCTTTCATTTGTTTAAAAAAAAAATTCCAAAGAGAAATATAAGAAATCTCAATAGTTCCGAAACTGTTTAGCTAGTTAGTCCCACTAAGCTTATCTTCTGGACCCTAAAAAGAAGTTCTATGAACATTCTAAATAATTTAATTTCATACTACAGCTTCCCACAGCAAATTAAAGAATTCAGTAAGAAAATAATCACCATTGACCTGAGCAACAAACTGAAAGGAGCCCCAGATTTTATCCTGACATTTTATAAGAAGGGAATTCCAAAATATACATCAACCAGTCCCCATCAATGTAGTTGTATTTCCGTTTCCTTTAAATCACAAAATAAAACATATGGCTTTACCTGGCATGCATGTGGCTTCACACCTGTGTGCTTTAACATATGTATTCGAAGAGAATATAATTTAGGTAATGTCCTTCCACATATGGAACATATAAATTCTCGCTTGGTTCTGCCCTTCTCAGATGATGCTCCTGATGCTTCATTAGGTGTGGAACTGGAAGATGATGAAGTAGGTGCATCTTTTCTTGTATGTCGGATAAGGTGTGCTCTCAAGGAGGCACTGTACTGAAATTGTTTTTTACACAACTAAAAGAAAAAGTAAGTAAGTGTCTAAATGTATTTCATTATACAACAGTAAATGAAATTCAACTTGTATTACTATTTATGTAAATTAATAAACCCAAATATCTTAAGAGGCAATATCCTTTGTACATACAACATGATCTAATTTGAGCAGAAATAGAGTTATAGTTAAAAAGATAAAGCACTCAAGAGGAGAGGGTACTTAAAAATAGAAAAATGCTAGCAGCAGGAAGTTGCACCACAAACCCAAAGGCATGAAGTTCAAATCCACCAGATGTTCCACTAGAGAAGGAGGAGCAATGTTCTCCTGTGCCAGTGGGACTTGACTTGATAGTACACAACAACAAAAAAAAGAACGCTATCACTTATGATTACTAACAGTTGTGAGGTGAATCACAAATAGGGGTTGGAAAAGAGAAAAAAACCAGGGTAATTCTAGAATTTTTTATCCTATAGCTTTGGAAAGTCATGAAAGCTTTTATCCCCTTTAAAAAAAAAATCAAAGTTACATATACTAAACATTTACAAAAGTTATTTAAAAAACAAACAAACAAAAAAAGGTTTCTGGATGCACCTTCTCACTTTGTTTCTTGGAGGTAACTTTTTAAAATTCTTCTCAGTGCTTACCCCTCTGACATCTCTTTGCACACCCTGCCTTCAAACTGTTTACAACTTCCAGTGACCCTCTATCAGGTTTCCAAGCCTATAAATTTCAACAAGAGGAGTCTGAGCATCTTTCTGCAACAGAGCTGCTAGAGCCGCACAGCCCTTACCTCAGTAGCACTCACAAGCCTCCAGAACAGTCCCTACACATGTATAAACGCTTCTTAATACCCTGTTTCACTATTTACAAATTGCACACACACTTTCTCTAATTTTGATTAGGTAAATTTCAGAGTTTGCAGTATTTAAAAACAAACCTCCAACCAGGAGAAGATAAAATAGATGAATAGGATCTTCTAAGAATCAAATCCCTGAAGGGAGCTCTGGTGGCCTAGTGGCAAGACACTGCACTGCAATCCCAGAAGTATGCCGTTCAAATCCACCAGATGCTCTGCTGGAGGAGGAGGGGGCAATCTCCTCCTGTACCAGTCAGATCTAATTTGACGGTACACGTAAAAATAATACAATAAAAATTAAAAAAAAAAAAAGA